AACAACAACAACAACAACAACAACAACAACAACAACAACAACAACAACAACAAGACAACAGGCTTCTTTTAGAAATAATTCATTGTCTTCCAATAAAAAAGAAGAAATAAAAAGAGGAAAAAAAGGTGGCAAAACATATCATTCGCTGACAACATTTCGAATTGCGATATTGTTTGTCACCCCCTCCCATAATCGTCCTCGATCAAAATAGATCTGACCAAGATTGCTTTATATTGGAGTCTGAAGCATTTGATAGAAATAAATGTGTACCAGCCTTTTTCTAGAGGGCTCTCGTGACCTAGAGGTTAAGGTATTCACCTCGCATTCAAAGGTCTCGGGTTCGATTCCGGATAGCGACGGAAAAATTTCCTTCTCTAAAAATTGTCTCCTTTCACCTTCTTTCCTGCTCTCTAGCAATGTTCTGTCGTCTGTTTTCGTCTCTACTTTCTGCCCCCATCTCCTTTGCCCCCTACTCTGGGCTCCTGACTCTTTCTGCAGCTTTTCTACTGCTACTCATCGGCTCCTTTTCACTGTTGTCTTTCAACCACACCTCTGATCTTCTGGTAGGAAAGATCTACACCTAGCTCTCTCGGACAAGGGCGAAAAATCTCGGAGGTCCTGTGTGCAAGTTGCGCGGGTTAAAGATCCCTTGGTGGCCTAAAATCAATAAGAGTAGGCTTCAGCCGCCACCCGGGCAAAATTCAAAATTTCCTACCAACTGAAAATGTTTAAAGTGTCCCACGCGCTCAAATGGCATTATGTAGTTGTGAGCGCCGTAAAACACTTACCAAAAAAACCCAACAAAACCCAACAAAAACCCAAAAAACCCCAGAAACAAAAGCATCCCTCTAATCCACTGCTTGTAGGCCTTTTTATAGCCAACGCTCACTTTTACCACCCTAAAGAGGCTAACATTTTCGTACCACCCACTATTATGTACACGTATTTCCTTGCGGGGCAGTAAAAAACATTCGCCTTTCAATATTATACGGGCTTTCCGTCTCGCCTACCAATATTACCACATCGCCCACCAGCGAGTGTTAGCGCTTAGATAGGCAAGCGCTGATCTAATCATACTTGATACTAAGTATGTCACACGAATCCTTTCTTTATGATTCATATAAAATGAAGTCTAATAGAGACAGAGCTCACGTATCCTACCTGTGTCACCGAGCGCCAGATTTTGGACTCCTTTTCCTTTGTACGAGAGAGAGAGCACATGTTTGTTCAGCTTTGGAGACTTTAGAAGTACACTTTAATGGTCATGCTGAAAGGGCGCACACACAAACACACACAAACGCACACAAACACACACACACACACACACACACACACACACACACACACACA